CTATTCCACAAGGGAGAAGCAGGGAGATAAAAAGCAACAGGATCAAAGCAAGACCAAACACAGCATGGCAAATGCTAAATCTGACAGCCATATCCAGTTCCTAGGGCATTCTGTAGCAATGAGATGTGAACTCCAAATAGCTTGCATGGTCTTGTGGCTATAACATTTCTGGTAGTTGTAGTTCTCATGGCTTCTATCCTGCCCATGAGAAATTGTCCAAAATGAAAGGGGAACCAGGAAAAGGGAGGGGGGGAAAGAAGGAAGGGAAAATAAAACAATGAGAAAAGAAGGATGAAATCTGGGTGGAAGCCTCCATAACCTCACAACTCTTGCATTCTACATCCTCATAAAACCAGCACCACATACACAATGCCAAGGTCTGCATCCCTCTTGTGGAGTAGCTGGGCCCCCTTGGATCATGGCTGCAGATGTCTCTGAGTGCCTGGATGCAGAGCACTATTAATTCAGTCCTGGGGAACCAATTCCCTATGAGGCCATTCTCTAACATGGTGCCTCAGTGCTCTCTTTGCAAAGAAGGTTTTCACTTTTGTAGGCTGGTTGGTAGGGTCTTGCTGTTTCCTCTGATGCCCTCAAGGCATCCTTCCTATTGTACTGATTCAAAGTTCCTCTCTTCTTTTTAATTCTAATCTTTTCAGCTCTCCTCTGCTTCAACTTTACAGGCCCAACTTTACAGGAGCTTCCTTTCTGGTGAAATTCAGAACTTTCACAATCCCTCAGCTATACTGTTCGCTCTTGATTCTCAGTGTGGAGTGGGCTGAAGCCCCCAACAGTAACTCTGTCAAAGACTGAAAATTGGGTTGCCAGGAAATTTCCTCTGCAGATTAATTAGTTCGCTGCCTTAAATTGTAGTCATCCACCAGACTTGAGGACATGAGCAAAATGTGGACAGGTTTTCTTTTTGTTAGAGCATAACACACATGGTTATGAGTCCAAAAAGAAATGGGGTTCTTATTCCCAACCAACCTCTCCGGAGCCTGGTCTTTACTATCTGCATTTCTATGAGTGTTCTGGTCTTCTGAGCTCAGACCAGAATCTCTCAGTTTATAGTATTCTAGGACATCTCCAGGTGGCATCTTCATACCTTTCCAAACTCCTGTCTTGAACAAACTCCTGTCTTGCCAAAATCTTCTGAACCAAATGGTCAGGGGCAGTCAGAGCCACACCCCAACTTTCCCAGTACCAAAATCTGTCTCAGGTGCTTTCTGGTCACTGAAACACAATATGCAACACCCACAACTTAAAGGAGGAGAGGTCTATCTTGGCTCACAGTTCACAGAGGTTTTGGTCCACAGTTGGCTGCCTCCAAGACAGGGCAACCCAGGTGAGGGGCGCAGCAAAGGAACAGCTGCTCACCTCATGGTTCCCCCTCTCTTACCAGACGCCCCTCTTCAAAGCAAGTCAGCTCTGAGCCCCACAATCCAATCACCTTCCGCAAGTCCTGCTTCTGTGCACTTGAGGCTTTGGCTGATATTGAGATTTATCCCCTAAGAGTGGGTACCCTCACCACGGTGTCACCTGAAACAGTCAAAACAAATTTCCATGTTGTCTCTCAGTGTTGCCCAGGTGAGAGCTGTGGTCTTCTGAGCTCTGACCAGAATCTCTCAGTTTTTGGTAGTCTAGGACATCTCCAGGTGGCATCACTTTGGAGAGCTGTGCAGCTTGGCAAAGGTGACCACAGTGGCATGTGTTCCCTCCTCAGATGGCAGAGAGGACTCTATGAGGTCCCTGTTGTATGTGCAGCCACACCCCTACTGTCATGAAGCACACAGGGATGCCTCATGGGCAATTCAGTGACTGTCACCTGGCTGTGGCCTTTGCTCTGCCATTGTAGCCAAGGACAGAGCCCTCAGATTCACACAGATGTGGGGGGACCACACTTGCCTGGCCACACCTGGACACCTGTGATCATGTGTCCCCCATGCATGGGCCTGTTCTATCACCACTCTGGGCTTCTGCCACCATCCCCCACCCCATGCCAGCCTGCACTTCGGGGCTCCAAAGCCGCATCTTGTCCTAAGTGTGGTGCATATGGGGTGGTGTGGAGTACATGGACCATCGTCCAGAATGCCCGTCCTTTGCTGTGGAGCACCCTTGGGCCGGGTCCAGCTGAGGCCAGTGTCTCCCACCTCCTGCTCAAATGCGGCCAGGTCACCCCACAACTCCTAAGCTCTGGGGAGTGTGGCATCATCCACATGGAGAGGGTGCAGGTGGGAGCCAGACGATGCCAATGTGATGGCCCTTGCCCTTCTTTAGACCAACAGAGCCGGCACTTCTGGGAAGAGTCAGGTCACTTTGCTGTGCCTTTGATGGGGACATGGGGACCCCCACCCTCTTCCTGTTTCTCTGCTGCTCCCCAGCTGCCCTGAGGTGACAGCTCGTCTACTGCACACTCACACTGGGATGTTTTGTTCATTTCAGGTGCAACCAACAGGCAGACAACCATGGAGTGAAATTTCTGAAATTGGGAGCCACTATAAACCTTTCCTCCCTACAAGCTGTTTACCTGAGGTATTTTGTCACAGTGACACAAAGCTGACTAACACAACCACATGCAAAAATATGTTTCTCTGGGCTTCTTTTTCCTTGGGCTCTGAGTGTATTTTTGTGTTGTGCACATGCTCCACTCTAGCAGGACAGTTTATGTCTGCCTTCCTCTTCACCTCTCGCTCTGCCTTCACTTCCTGCTCTGACCTCATCTGCTCATGTCTTTGTTTCCTGATTGCTCAGAGCTTGAATTTCAGCCCCAGAGGAGCATTGAGAGCTGCTCAGGGCTTTTCTGAGCATGTGTCCTCCTTGGCCTTCTGTGTGGCCTTTTAGACTTGCTGAAATGGGCAGCATCTTTCCAAGACCTTGTTTCCCCAAACAGCTCATGCACCACTTTTCCTCCCAGGCTTTCGCAGTCCCTGTTGTTCTCCCAGCTGACACGGTGGGCCGTGGTGGTGCTGGTGAGCACTTTCATCTTCAGGGTTCTGACCGACACTCTGTGTGCCGACTTCTACATTGCGAGCGAGGCCTAAGTGAGGAGACACTAAGTCCGGCGGCTGTGTGGTCCCTCAGGGACTCCAGGCTCACCACAAGAGATGGCCGCACTCCTTGGAAATAATGTCCAGCTGCTCCCCCGGCACCAGCCCCACCCCAGGACCTGCACTGTTGTCCTCAGGTCCACATCCAGCTAGGACAGGTGGGGGAGGATGGCAGAAATGCCTCAGAGCCTGCTGGGTCTGCTGGTTTATTCTGGCTTAACTGTTCCCTCTCTGTAATGCAGTGTCCTCACCCTTTTAGCACCAGGAATGCATTTCTTGGAAGGTAATTTTTCCACGGCCACAAAGTGTTTTCAGAGTTAGCTTCTCAGAAGGAGTGCACGGTCTAGACCCCTCACAGGTCACAGTAGGGTTCTTGTTCCTCTGAGAATCCAGTCTCACCGGGGATATCAAGGAGGCGGAGCTCAGCAGTGAGTGATGGAAGCCTTGGAGCCGCTGTGAATACAGGGGAAGCTCCACTCCCTAGACCCCTCTGCCCTCCTGCTGGGCTTCGGGGCTCCTAATATGGACCGTTACCACAGACTCCTGACCCAGGGAATGTTCTGCACAGTGCAGATAAGTTGCCAAGGTTTTTGTTGTTTGTTTGTTGCCAGTTTCTGTGTCTTTGGCAGGACAGGCCCTCAGGCGCGCCTGCTCCAGTGTTTCTACAGCGTCGCTCTGGGCAGGGATGATGGGGGCCGGTCCTCTGGGGGCACGGTCAGCACTGGGCAGGAGAGAAAGCTGCAACCTTACTCAGGAAGTTCCACTCCTGGGAGGCCCGCAGCAAGAAGACTGGCACTTGTGCCAGTAGATGCATGGTGAGGACACACTCGTGGGGTCACCTGTAACAGTCAAACTGAGGTTCTGATGCGACCCCCATGCTGCCCGGATCTCACTGAAGAGCCGTGCACCTTGAGGGTGACCACAGTGACACGTGTTCCCCACTCAGATGGCAAGGAGAGCGCCCTGTGAGGTCCACACTGCGTGCTGTGACACCCCACTGCTGTGAAGCTCTCTCGGGACCCCTCGTGGGCAGCGCAGTGAGGGTCACCTGGCCATAGCCTCTGCTCTGCTATTGTAGTTCCGGATAGAGCCCTCAGATTCACTCAGGGTGGTGGAAATGCACCTGGACACACGTCCTCACATGTGCCCCATGTCACGTTCCTGCCGCATTCTGGGTTCTTGTGCCATTCCCTGTCCCCACCCCGGCCTGCAGGTGGGACTGCATCTTTGTCCTGTGCATGCTGAATGCTGGGCAATTTTGAGTACGTGGACCATAGCCCAGGACAGCCTCCCACTTCCCATGGAGCACCCTTGGGTCCCGGGCCAGTGGAGGCCAGCACCTCCCTGGTCTGCCCCCTCCAGCTGAGCTGTGGCCAGGTCACCTCTTGACCCCTTGACCCTGGGCAGTGTGGTGTCATTTGCATGAGGTAGATGTTCCTCAGAGCAGGGCAATGCCCATGGGATGGTCCCTGGTCTCTACAGACCAGCAGAGTTGGCCAGGGGCCAACAGAGGCACAAATGAGGGGATGGGGCATCCAGGTCACATGCAGAAGCCAGAGGGCCCATGGGCCAGTGTCCAGAGCCCGGACCGGGCCTCTGTCCCTCCCAGCCCATGTGCCATCATCACAGAGAGCGGGCATGGGCAGCAGAGGCTTTATTGGTGCTCAGAGACCAGCAGTGACACTGTTGAGTTTAAGAGCCCCACTCACCCGAGGAGGAATGTGGCTGAGGGCCAGCATGGGGAGATGACACCCCATCAGCCAAGAACGGGGTAGGAGGGGCAGGGGGAGAGCCTCAGGTGCCCGCAGGGGATGGGATGCTGAGGGAGGGGAAGGACTGGTCCTACTCTGCGACTGCATTGTGCTGTGTGCTGGCAGTGAGTTCAGGGGCATCCAGGGGCTGAGAGTGGCAGGACCTGAGCCTGCTGCCCCTTTTGGGAGAAGGCTAATTAGCAAATCAGCAGCAGGACTTCTGGCCCAAGGAGAGGCCACAGCAGGCCGGGCGGGGGCAGGCGGGGCGGCAGAGCAGGGACACGGAGGAGCAGGAGGGCTTGCAGTAGACAGGCTTGCAGCAGATGGATATGCAGCAGGACGGCTGGCAGGGGGAGCAGGAGCAGCATGCAGGCTGGCAGCTAGACTGCTGGCAGCAGGAGGAGGAGGTGCCTGAGCAGGCGGGTGTGCAGGAAACTGGCCTGCAGCAGACAGGTGTGCAGCACACAGGCTTGCAACAGACAGGTGTGCAGCAGACAGGCTTGCAGCACACAGGTGTGCAGCAGGCAGGTGTGCAGCAGGATGACTGGCAGGGAGAGCAAGAGCAGCAAGTCAGCTGGCAGCTAGACTGCTGGCAGCAGGAGGAGGAGGTGCCTGAGCAGACAGGAGTGCAGCAGACAGGTTTGCAGCAGACAGGTGTGCAGCAGACGGGTGTGCAGCAGGCGGGCACGCAGCAGGACGGCTGGCAGGAGGAGGAGCAGCAAGCCGGCTGGCAGCTGGACTGCTGGCAGCACGTGGGCGTGCAGGAGCTGGTGCAGCCTGACTGGCAGCATGGGGTGCAGATGAGGCTCAGGCAGGGGGCTGGGGCACAGCAGCTGGGCTGGCAGCAGCTGGGGGCGCAGCAGGGGGGCTCGCAGCAGCTCTCCTGACCATTGTCCACCTGCCAGGTGTCACTGCAAGCAATGGGTGTGCAGACCCGGCTGCCTCTCCCCAGGTCGCTGGAGCAGATGGAGAGGGTGGAGGCGGCAATGACACATGTCCTGGTACAGCAGCTGTCGGCCATGCTGGAGCTGTGGAGGGGGCAAGTGCCTGTGTGTGTGTGAGTGCGTGTGAGTGTGCCTGTGCTGTGGGAGGTGCTCGGGGCTCTGCGGCTTTATACCCCGCCTGGCGTTCCCCTCGTGGAGTTCCTCTCTTCCCCTTCCTTGTTGTTGCTCAGCTTTGTCTCCTGGTAGCCCTGCCCCATGACTTGCTGTGAGCCCTGACTGCGGCTGTGCCCAGGACCCCATGTGTGCAGCTGAGGGCGAATGCTGGGAGCTGCGCTGTGTCGTGAAGGTGACCGCCCCCGAGCGTGCTCAGGGACAGCTCGCCTCTGGCGCCCTCTGCTGATTCTCTCCCGCTGCCACCTGATGTGCCTCCATGGATCACCCCCTCCACGCTCCTGCCACCACCCCAACTGCTGACTGGCCAGGGCACCCGACCGGGAGAACTGCTCCAGACGCCCCTCCTGGACCCCATTCTTTTTTTTCTCTTTCCTTTTTTTTTGTCTATTTGAGACAGGGTTTTGCTACGCAAAAGGTCAGTTCAGACTGGCCTTGAGCTCACTTTGTAGCCCAGGCTGGTCTCCAACTTGCAATGACCCTCCTGCCTCAGCCTCCTGAGTACTGGGATTACGGGCGTGCGCCACCATACCCGGCTTCTGGATGCCATTCTTACCCACCCTGTTTATGTCACAAATACTAAACAACACGGCCCCTATGACCATGGAGTTTCCTGTCTTGGAGACGATCTGGTCTGTGGGGGACAGTGCTTTCCTGGGCTCACCGCCAGCCTCACGAAGAGCTCTCTTCCCATCCTCAGTGTTTGGTTAGGTTGGAGCTCAGCATCCATGTTGTTTTTATCGGGTGAATAAAGCCGGTGGCTGAGTCTGCAGAGCGGAGCCAGAATTCATTTCCCTGCTTGTGCACCTGGTGTTTGCGTCCTCCCCTCAGGGAGCTAACAACGGCTCCTGTTTGTTCACTTCGTTTTCCCTGTATCATTAAATCCTCCCCAAACAAGCCGATGTCATCTCTGAGCTCTGTCCACAGGGAACCGGTCAGCTTCTCTTCCTTTTTGTGAACCTCGCTGCTAGACCCCTGTGTTCTGGGGCATCTCTGCAGCGGCTCCCCACCCACTGCCCAAATATAGATGCACCCCCAGCCTCCCTCACTATGGTCCTTGACTTGGTCGATAGCTTGGCTGGCTTAGTCCTGGAGACATGTTCCCTTACAGTGCCTCGATGGAGGTTCGGGACGTTTCCAGAGTCCTCGCGTGCCTGTGCGGTCTCTCCCAGCCTCTCCCCGCTGCCTCTGTCCTCACGTCCTGTGAGGCCTGGGCTCCTCTGCTCTGGGAGATGTCTGTACAAAGCACTGTGAGGCAAATGTGGCTCATTCGCTTGGTTTTTTCCTGTGCTGTGAACAATTGCACTAATCCATATCGTACGGTTTTTATCCCTTCTTTTTCCCAGTGCTGGGGGTTTAGATTGTTTCAGATTTGGGGCAAGGGTAATTCTGTTGCTATAAAGTTGTTGTCCATTTTCTTGGTGGGTGTATTTACTAATTTCTCTTCATCTACAGCCAAAAATGGAATTGCTGGGTCACACAACAGGTATATGTTTAGTTGAGCATCTACTGCCTGACAACTTTTTAGAGAAATTCAAATTCCTGCTAGTCAGGGCCTGGGATTTAGCTCATCGGCATAAGCGCCTGCCTGGCAAGTGCAAAGCCCTGAGTTTGATCCCTGGTACCAAAAAAACCCCACCAGCCAATTTCATGAATCCCAGTCATTCTATATCTTTACAAAATGAGATGCCGTCAGTCTTTTATGATCTTATCCATTTGGGAAGGCAAGTGGGAATAGCTCCTGTTACGTAATCTGCATATTGATGACTAGAGCTCTTCATTGATCCTCTGGATAGCTTTTCTTAAAGGGCCTGTTCGAGTCATTTGCTTATTTTATTTTTAAGTGTTTATGTGTATTTCTAGTTCTTTTTGCAATGTATTACATATCCTGACACGAGGCGTTCATTGTGTGTGTGCAGCGGTGGTGCGGCCCCAGCACAAGGGGTTTGGTCGACTGTCAGTGGCTGGTAGGAAGCCTCCCTGGGCGTGGGGAGGTGAGACTTGGCTTCTCCTGGGGCCTGGAGTGGGGCGTTCAGGTCATGGATGTTGTGTGTTTAAGGGAAGTGATGGCCACGTCTCCAGAGTGATTGTGCTGCTCCAGCTCCGCCCAGCTCGCGGGGAGGGGCGGGGGCAGGGGCGGCTCACTCCTCCGTGGACCTCGTTGCCTCTCTGACCTGAGGCACTCTTGTGGGTGCACCGTGGTATTCCTGTCACCTTCTGATGACTCGGGGCTCTCGATCTCAATAAAATCCAGCTTACTAATTTTCTCTTTTATGGTTTGCATCCTGTGTCCAAAGTCTTTGCCAACGCATGATCTCATGAAACGTTCTCCTACATGTGCTTCTAGGTCTTTGTGTTCATTTTATTTTCCTACTTCTTACTTAGTGTTACATTAACAGATGAACAACTGTGCACACTGATGGGGCACAGTGTGATGTTTTGATCTACGTCTACATCGCAGAAAGTACCTCAGGCTAGTAACATATCATCTCACCAATTTATCTTTCCTGTGGTGAGGATGTTAGAAGTCTATTTTGCAGGCAATTCTGAGATAAACAGTCCATCAGTACTAACTGCAGGGGGTCCTCCATCCCATCCTGTCTCCTCTTCCCTATGCTACTTCCTCCCTGTTTGCCTTCTCCTGGCTTATTTCACTCACTGACCTTCAGGTCCCTCTGCATTGTCAAATTTCTCCGTTGAGGTCGCATTGTATTTATTCCACCACGGATACGCGCCATATTTTCTTCATCCATCCATCGCCGAGGGACTCTGAATCGCTTCCTCCTCACTGTCACGAGGAGTGCTGCAGTAAACACGGAGGTGCAGAGCCTCCTTCACAGAGCAATTTCCGTTCTTTTGGATGTTATGTCAGTCAGCTTTATGTGACTGTAACAAACTCTCAGAGACAGCTGGCTCATAAAGAGCAAGGGTTCTTTGGTGGTTCCAGCCCATTGCTTTGGGCCGGTCGTGGGGACCTCATCCTAGTGGGCAGCGGCAGAGCAAACCCCCTCTCCTCATCACAGCAGAAATCAAGGAGAGGAAGGAGCCCAAGACCAGCGTCTCCTTTCAGGACATGCCCACCTCTAGCGGGCCCCTCTTTAACATGCCACCTCCTTCCAGCAGGCTGGGTCCCCGGGCCTTGGGAACACTGGAGATCCAGTTAGAGCAGAATTCCCAGAGCTGGGTCCATGAGCTCAAACGCTAGTTCTGCTTTTAGTTTTTATGACCCGCCGCAACATTCTGCAAGGTGACTGCTCTCGAGTACATCCCTACCGACTCTGTACCAGGGCTCCCTCTTCCCTGCGTCCTTGCCACGTGATACCTGTCACCTTTCGAGACTGACAGCAGCCATGCTAACAGATGTCAGGTGATGACTCACAGGGTTTGGACTCACATGTCCCTGAGGATTAGTGAGGACTTTTCCACATACCCATTGGCCATTCCTAGGTCCTCTAAGCGACGATTATTCAGGTAGCCTTCCCAGGTTTTACTCAGAGGACCTGTTACTCTTGAATCGTTCCAGCTCCTCCAGTGTCCTGATGTTAGCCTCTCACTGGGTGTATGATTTATAAATATTTCCTCCCCGTCTGTAGACTGTCTTCCTGCTCTGTTCATGGTTTCCTTTACTGTGCAGCAGCTTTTTAGTTGCCTCCATCGGGAAGAGAGGTTGCCCTGGGCCCCATTAGCTCCCTGCAAGGCCCTGTGCTCGATCTGGGAGTCAGATTAGTACAAGAGCTGACTAACAGGAGAGAGGCACCTGAGTTTTACACCTGGAGATCTTCGCAAGAGCGCGAAGTGCAAGCAAGCGAGTAAAGCATGGTGTTCACGCCCATTTCACACAGAGACAGTCACTGTTGGCGGAAGACGGGACAGAGGGCCTCCTGGACGGGGTTGGAGATTTGAGGCACACCACAAGAGACACGTGGGGGTGTGGGTGCTGGTGGAGGACAAGGCTGCTCAGAGTGTGTGAATTCGGGGTCACTGCAGTGGGGCCGAGGCTGTCTGCCGCGTGGACTTGGGACCCACCCTGAGGGTCTCTGCGACTCGCTGCTGCAGGTGGGGCACACCGGCCCTTCCCGCTGTCCAGAGCCTCAGGTGACTTCAGCCTCAGGCCTCCCTGCCCGGGTGGCCCGTTGGGAGGGACTTCAGCGTCATCCCATTGGCCTATCTTTGTTGTTGTTACCTGCCTTTTTGGAGGCCTAGGAAATTACTGCCCAGACCGTCGTGGAGTGTCCTCCCTGCTTTCCTCCAGCGGTTCTAGAGTTTTCAGTCCTGCACTGGGGGCCTAAACCCACGTTTGCTTATTTTTTTGTAATGTTGTGAGGGAAGGGTTCAAGTTTATGTTCTGCATGTGGATACACAGTTTTCCCAACACCACGTGTTGATGAGACAACTATTTCCCTGTTGTGTATTCTCAGCGCCTTTGTCGGAAATCAATTCGCAGTAACTACCAGGGCTTATTTCTGGGATTCCTATTCTGTGTTATTGGTGAATGAGCCGGTTTCAAAGCCTGTATGATGCTGTCTTGATGACCACAGTTTTGTAATATATTTTGAAATCAGTGAACATGATACTTTGTTCTTTTCACAGGCTATTCATAGGGCACAGGCTATTCAGGAACTTTCATAATTCCAGTTGAATTTTAGTACAGTTTTTCTTTTTCTTTTTTCTTATTTTTTGAAAAATATGAGTGAAATGCATAGGGTTCACATTGAATCTGTAGATCCCTTTGGGTAGCATAGGCATTTTAATGATATTAACTCTTCCAATTCATGAACATGGGACATTTATCTATTAATTTGTGTCTTTCTCAACTTTATCAATATTTTACAGTTTTCAATGTACAGTCTTTTATTTCCTTGGTTAAATTTATTGGTTAAATACTCACTTGGTTAAGTATTTTTAT